ATTCCCAACACCAAACCTAGAGTAGGTAGGAGCAACCCCCAAGGTTCGCATACCCTGAGGTGCGATGGCAGGCAACGCACAGCTGTTGATACGTCCATGCTAGGACTGCGCTGCCCCAGCTATACGCCGCTATGTTCTCCCACGGCTGGCGTAGTATGTCAAGAAAGATCCAGCTGATGGTGTTGCCCGAGGCATCTAGGAAGAGAAAAGCACTAAGAAAGTGCCAGAGCCACACTCTAGCGAACTTGTCGATCTAAGTCTCATCAGCTTGTGGATCCAAGTAATCAAAATGCTCTGTGATCCACGACGATGAAACTCCAGAACTTTTCCTAAAATTCACCAAAGAAAATGAGCCTCGATGGCTGCAGGAAAGCAATGCAAGTATTAAATAGGCTTGAATTGCTCACTTATTTTTCTTGGAAACCTCGTTGTCCGGTGGAAGAAAGCCAGTAAACTGAGCCACCAGCTCCCTCCAAGGATCGTTGTCAACTATACCTGTCACTGGAAGTCCCCCCAACCAAAAGCCAAAGATAGCCTTCATGCCCTGCATGGTCAAGGTCATCTCGTCGCAAGGTAGGTGGAACGTGTGGGTCTCAGGCCTCCATCTGGTATAAGAATAGAACGATTGTTAGTTGCCTCAAATTTGTTATAAGAATGTTTACGTGACAAAGAAGGCACTCGCACTTTTTGTCTATAGCTACTGATGTAGTAGTCTTTGGGTCAAGGGACGAAGACCGTAGTTGACAACACGGACAAGCTTGAGGAAGCCGACACATCAGATGTATGACGCCAGAACGCCGTCGTCCCACCGTGCGCCTCGGTGTGCGTCAGGGGGCCTCAAAGGAGGCAAGGCCACCTCTACGTCGGTGTCACTCAAGATGTGTGCTCGGTGCTGGTCGTTGTATTCCACCTTGAGAAGGGGAAACAACGGGTGCTGCGTGGGAGGGGCCATCCTGTTACAAATTGATAAACAAATGGTTAGAGTATTCAAATTAACAATATTCAAATTAACATTACGTAGCATTGCAAAATTTGAACTACTTGTTATGCAATACGAACACAATATAAAAGCACATGTATATATTCAAAGTAACATTAACAGACATATTAAACAACTTCACTAGGAAAATAAGCATTTGACGAAACTTCATCAAGTCATCCAAATCGACGTATCACGCACTACTAAGTATCGACACTTGAAAACTAGTATCTATACCCAAAATCCCTAACTAAATAACTAACCATAAACTAAATAATAAATACCTAATCAATCCCTAAACCCAAAATCCTAACTAACAGTAACCTAAACCCTAACTACGTAACCAAACCTTAACTATACTACAACACACAACCTCAAACCTAAAAACTACCTACCTAAATAAACAAATTCACTAACCTAACTATCCTAAATCACTAACCCTAACTATCCTAAATCACTAACTATCCTAAATCACTAACCTAACTATCCTAAATCAACAACAATCATAATAACATGAAATCGAGAGGGAGCTACCTTGATATGAGCGGGCGGCCGGTGGCGGTCGCTCCGACGTTAGCCGTCAGGCGCTCTGTGGCGCCACGCCGCGGCGTGTGCGGGCGAGGCGAGGCCAGGGGTGGGCGCCGGCGGCGAGAGCCTTGCTGCGGCGATGCGAAGCGGGCTGGCTTGGCGCGGTGTGTGTGTGCGGCGGGTCGGGTGGCGCGCGCACGGCGCGGCGGGCTCGCTCGCGATATTTATCTGGTCCTGTCGCGCCATGCGCCGTGACGCGTCACGGTCACTGCCGTGCCAAAATCGGTGGCACGGCAGATCCTGCCACGTCACCGGTCAGTAGCCCCGATCGTCGCCACGTCATCCTCCTGCCGCGCCACCATGCATGGCGCGGCACAGGTGTTTCGCCGCGCCATGGCAATAGGCGCGGCCAAAAGTGTTAGTTTTGAAAAAAAAAAAGTGTTAGATTTAAAATTAGTTTACAAAAAGTGTTAAAAATAAAAAAATTCCCTCAAGAAGAGGCAGAGAGGCCTCAGCCACAAAGTCCCAAAAGGCACGAGCTTTTTAACTCATCAGTGGTTTCGAGGAGGTCTGGTGGCAACAATTCCTTTAGGCATACTACAATATCTTGCAATGCACCCTCATTGAGCTTCCCATCCTTCCCAACAACGCCCAAATCCTTTAACACGTTGCGTTGTGCAATGCGGCCACTTCGACGAAGCGAAGCTGTATGATAGGACTTGCGTCGACGTCTTGCAGGTGTAGCCGATGGTGAAGGTGGACGTCTAGGAGGACATGCCAAATCGTTCTCCTCCATAGTTGTGGCCATTGAAGAAGACGATGCATTAATTGATGGATCCTCTATCGACCTGGGGACTTCTTCGTTGACCTCAGTCATAGAATGCAAAGGGTTGTCTTCAATGGTGATGATTTCTTCCTTGCCGTCAGTCATAGAATGCATAGGGTTGTCTTCAATGGTGATGAGAAAGATGGGGTCCTCAATTGTCACTTGTGAGATAGCTTCATCATTATGGGACGCATCCTCCACCAGAACAATATCCTCAACAGGGGTGACGGTCTTAGCAACGAGGTCGTCGAGGGCACCGCAATGGTGTGTGATCGGTGCAGATTCCATCAATGGCGAATCATAAATATTCTGTTGTAAAGAGAGACTAATGGTCAAAACCCACCTTTTAATACTTGATCATATTAAAATATGCCTTACATAATATGACCATTTCAATTACTTGAAATATAATACGACATTTTTATCCTTTTTTGGGTCTAAACGTGCAATCGATGTGATCCATGACATGTTTATTACAAGTTAAAAAAAAATAACATGTTTATTACTCCGTCAAATAGTGGAGAGCCACCCAAGTCAACAAGCTAGTGACCTTAATCAATCCATAAATTACTGTTGTTGCATACAAATACTCTCCATTCAAGCTAGGATGGCTAAATTCCGGTCAACAAGAAGTCAGCTGTGGGCGTTTCTGAGATGCTTCTCTTGCTTCCATTTGGACTTCGCATAGTTTTTTTCCCCATGTTTTGTAATACGCAAATCCACTGTATATTTTGAAGATGTGCGAATGGTCACATCAGTTAGAGGGTGACGACGAAATCAGAATTGATGGTGACATTACCAGAATAATCAGTCAACAGTTGTTGAATTAGACATGGCAATATGCTCCTTAAATTGTCTTGAGTTCACCGAGCATCTCCAAGAGTACCCAAAAGAGTCTCCCAATCAAGAATTTTGGCACGATTGAAAAAAACTCATCTCCAACAACTTCTAAACACACCTCCTAATCTTTTGGCACTTGTAAAAAATCACCCCACACGCGTAAAGTTATGCGTGTGTATCGTCGCCCCAATATGAGGTGGAAGGACGTGGGGAAGAAAATAAAGTGAGACAGGATTCCAGATACAAATATACAAGAGAGAAATAAAGTATAATAGTGGTTAGTGTGATTTAGAAATAGTTTAGGATTCCTGATATAAAATTACCTTCTATATTTTAGGCACTAGATTTTGGAAACGGTTGAAGTTGTAGCTTTTTTATGTCTTCTAATATATTTTGCAAAGGTTGAAAACCCTATTTTTAGGGAGTATTTTGTTTTTGAAAAGTATTTTTTTTTTAGATACTGTTGGAGATGCTCTAACCATGTCGAACTAATCTTTTTATGTTTTTTTAGCAATACCAATATTTTAGTGAATGGTCACCACGCACTTGCATTTTCTCGGGCTTCCCTTCGGACAATCCGTCTGTGAATCTCGGCCCTTCATACCTGTGGTATGTAAAATTGGCCCTTCCACTAGAGCGCTCGACCGCTCGAGCCATGGCCTTGGTTGCAGCAGTGCTGGCCGTATGGGCTGAGACGACTGGCCCAAAGTTGGAAGAGGAGTCCAGGCACACTGAGCACGCGGGAGGACAAAGGTTTACAAGCCGAAAAAGGAAATTTCACACGAATCAAATTAAAAGAACTTTAGCTCAAAAAACTCAAATTAAAAAAACTTTTCTATTCTTATCAGGATAAATCCCCTATATTTTGAGTACTTATATTAAGCCGTCGGAGACATACACATCGACTCACATCGAATAACTCGATTAATGCCGTGGAATCTAACCCAAATGCTAGAATTGTATTCTTCTTCTTTTTTGAAACGGTAAATTTCATTCAAAGCTTAAATACAAGATACAGATATGGGGCAAAAATTGCCTCATTGAAAGTTTTCCAGAATTGTATTCTTCTTCGGATGGATGGAGGGAGTATGTGCTAGTCACATCTTCACCTTACAATTTCCTATATGATGAATTGGTTCCAGATGAGACGAAGCTAAGCCAGGCCGTCGTCAGCGCGGGCCACACATTTGCGGATTTGCCCGTAGCGGGCTGGTTGCCTGCTAGACTTTTGCGTTGGTATTTTCACATTCAAGCAAACCAGCGCCGAGCTCCTGTCACGAGATAGAAAAGAAATTGGGCCGTGGACCACAAGCTGACATTGCTTTCACCCAGATGGAGAAAATATATCACGGCCGGCCCTCTGCTCTTTGGCATCCAGAACAGCAAGATGGAGAATATCACATTCAACCAAGAACAAATTCGCTAGAATTTCTGGAAGTTCTCCAAAACGCCAAAGTGAAAACGGTGTATAATGGTGGCCGGTTGAACAACCTGTTTGTTCAGTTGGCCCTGTATGTAACAAAAGCAAACATCGAGCTCCATAAACCAGAAACCAGCATCCAGCATGTTGAAACAAAATAAAAATACACCTTGGGATTGAAAGTAACCCCTCTTGCTCCCTCTTCTTCCAATTGGCGAAAAAAAAGTCTTCAGCACTGGTTCATATCATCCCTCTATCTACACACCTCAAAACATGATGTTTGGGAGCCTCTCTGTATCTCTCGCGCTTACTCTTCATCTTATTGTTCTTGCTGCAAATTTTTCGCTCTTTCTGACGGAAGAAGGGCAGGGGGCGGACGCCTCTGTCATAACACTGTTTGCCAGGACCTACTGCGCAGCGGGGATCGTCGACGAGGACCGGCCGGGCCACGCAGGCGGTAGCGCCTGTTTGCGGGGTGGCGACGGCGGCGGCTTCTGGGCTTGAGCGGCAGCCTCGAGTTCCGATGTCAACATGTCGAACATGACCTGGACGTCCTTGTAGCCGCAAGTCTTCACGTCCTCGTGGAGCTTCAGAATGCCACCACTGCCTGCACACAGCACATGATCCATGCATGGTGTCCAGGTGAAATCCTGTCAGATGAATTGTGGTTCGAAAATTAAACTCCTGCCTGACCAGGTGCCAGGACAGGGACAGTGAAAAGGCATTTATTCAAGCATTTCTTTTGGCCTTGTACTTTTCAACTTATTTTTTCAGCCGGAACAATGTTTTTCTCTCACAACAAATCAACCGGAACAATGTTTCGGCTTGTTTTTTCAGCGAAGCGAACGGGGCCAAAATCTCAGCATAATAGCATATCATACATAAAAAACCTAATTACCAACGGTGGGTGGAAGGGTGGGTACGATATATGGAGGAAAGAATACTTGGTAGCTAATGAGCACAGACAGACTTCACTGTATGGACCAAGCCTCAAATGTTGTGAAGAAAAAGCAGCCGACCGTACTATGTGTGTCTTTTGCTTTGGGCCCTTTGGATTGTGCTCCCTTTAAGACTTCATTCATCAAACAGACAGTTGCAGACAAAGTTGTTAGCTAATCAAAAGGTTGGTTTCTAATCTAAAAGATTAAAAGAAATGACTTTGCTAGTTTGGTATATATTAAATTAGTGCATCTTTTAGGTCTGTTGTAATTGTTGTAAGTAAAGGCTTTCCCTAACAAACATAACAAGGCCCAATTGGAAGAGGAGGGCAAGCCTTTGTGTCAAACTAAATAAAGAATGTTATTGAAGATGAGGCTTAGCTTTGCTTATTAACTAATTGAAGGAAGTGTTTACATTCATCTCCATTGCAATGTGAAGTGTAACACCAAAAGAAAACATAAATCAACAAAGTAAGGTGCTATGAACTTTTTATGATGAAACAGGAGGAGGGGCCCCTACTGATTAATGATATATAAAAGAACAAATAATCTTTACAGAGCAAGTTTAAGAGGAAAAAAAAAGAAACAAGGAAAATGAAGGTGGTATACTGGTATGTAAAGACATCTTTTGGGGAGAAGAAAGGAAAATATTCACATATTGACTTTATCATCGTGTAAATGTGACACTTCCCTAGGACTAAATCATAAAATGTCATCATGGAACAGGAACATTAGACCCATCCCAAACTGAAGAATAAGGCACTTCCTAGTTCCTATTTAAAAAGCTGAAGAAAAAGCACCAGAAATTAAACAATCAATCCAATGGACGGCTGGGGACAAGAATAGTGCCATCCTAAATACTAAAGAAGATGCAAAAGCTCATCAGTCCAACATGAATATGCACGTCATAAAAAGGTTGGTACGAGTCATAGCTTTTAAGAAACTTCCTGCAGATGAGTAATCATGCTCTAGTGCCATCCGCACCTTCACTGCCGAGGTACGGTGTCCATTTAGACTTTCAAGATTCCCCGTCACATCAAATCTTACGGCACATGCATAAATCATTAAATGTAGGTAAAAATAATAACTAATTACACAATTTGCCCGTAATTGACGAGACGAATCTTTTAAGCCTAAATAGTCCATAATTGGACAATTTTGTCAAATACAAACAAAAGTACTACAGTAGCCAAAAACCAAAAAATTTCACATCTAAACAGGGCCTGAGTATCTTTTTCCCTGTGGTTCACTTTGGCTCGCGATGTTGGTTTCTAGAGGATGGGTCCACCATCGGTCTTGAATTTCTCATCTATTGCTCGGGACAGGATATGGATCCTGTACAAAATTATGGTAAATCTTCCAAGCTTGCACAGTTCCAGTGCTCTCTCCATATCCATGGCAGTACGTATCCTGTATCCAAGGCGCTCTCCATACCCACGGCAGCACTACGTATCCAAGGCACAAGATATTTAAAGCCAGCACGTGGCCCGATGGCGACATTCAACGCGAGACACTGCAGCAGCAGCTGCCATGGCCCACCTGTCTGTGGCGCTAGAGGTCAATGGCAGCAGGGGCTTATGTCAAGGCACCATCATGTGGCCTGTGTGTGTGGGTAGGCCACGCGGCGCGGGCGCGCGGCGGCCATTCAAGTCGAGATCGTCCAGATTTCGTGCTGCTGCTAAGCAACAAGATTGCCGTGCCGTCCTCTGTTCCCCAGCAATTGCGAGCGCTAGTGCTCTGCAGGCCACTGTTACGGGCTTATGGTCTCCTGTACCCTTCACCAATCACCGTGATCAATCAAACGTTTTTTTATCTCCCTTTGGTTGTTTTTTGATAAAATGTGCAAATTGCGAACGTGATATTGGCCTACTTGGTCAGCTAGATCGATTTTCAAGGAGAATATCATGGGTTCTACTGCTGACTGCTGAGACTCTGAGAGGGTTAACGAATTCGAGTTCAGGTCATTTACTTTATATTGAGAAAAAACAATGGGCGAACTTCAGTTCAGATAGTAATAAATCACCGGTAAGCGCAGCGTTAAAATAAAAGGTGAACCTACTACTACCTAGTGAATCACATTTCAGATGGTGAATCACCGGTACGGTAAGGCAATCGTGTAAACGCAACAGAGTCGTGAGAACTGAATCGCTAAAAAGGAAATTAGTAGAGACGAGCGTACTCTAATTATCGAATCATGTATGCATATTTTTTGAGATGAAACCCTTGCTTCGATGAAAAGAAGAACAGGGTTTGAAATCAGCACAAAAAAAAACAGAAACAGAGCAAACACACTATTCGATCGGCAAACTCGAAAGGATAACAAAATCGAGCAACCTACTGCTACGGCCAGGAGAACGAGATGTACCGTCGCTCCCAATCTAATCTCCAGCGATTCCAAAGCGAAACAACGATCGCCTCAGCCCGATGATCCTCCGCGGAGCACAAAGAAACGACCGACCGGGGTTAGGGAAGAGGGGCATGATGGTAACTGACCAGGCTTACGCGCGCGGAGCCGCGCTGCGACGGCGGCCCAGGCGCGGCGCGCGCGGGGCACCACCTTCCTCCGCCACCACGCCACCATCCGCACCGACGCCCTCGCTCGGGGCCAGCCGGCCAGGCTCCTCTCCTCTCTCCTGACGCGGGCGCGGTGCTCTACGGGGTCTGCGAGGAGGAGCGGTTCGGCAGGGCAGGCACCAGCGCAGGACGCAGTAACGCAGGGCGGTTTTATCCGGTGGGTTTCGTTGCGGTCGGCGGGGTTGTGTGGGTTGGGTTGGGCCGCCGCGGGCTGTGTGGCCTACTGCCTTGCGTCCTGCCTGGTTTCCAGGAGCACGTGGTTGGCGCCTGCCTCCGCCGCGCCGACTCGTTCACACGCTGGCAAGTGGGCAGCTAGTTTCCCTCATCCCAAAATATCTCTTCTTCTTCTTTTTTTATCGAGTCTACCGGTAGTTCGGTACTATGAGCGTGTTGCCTGGTAACTGCACTTCGCCCTGTTCAAATTGCATTTGGGCCATGTTTAGCCCTTGTTTAGTTTGCAAAAAGTTTTCCCAAAAAGTGCTACAGTACACGTCACATCGAATCTTGCGGTACGTGCATGGAGCATTAAATGTAGACGAAAATAAAAACTAATTGCACAGTTTTGTTGGAAATTACGAGACGAACGTTTTGAGTCTAATTAGTCCATGATTGAACACTAATTACCAAATAAAAACGAAATTGCTACAGTAGCCAAATTTCGCACTTTTCGCGAACTAAACGCGCGCTTAGTTCGGCCACCGAACGGGCGCCGCCAAATTTCCGCGGTACTGTAGCTGCAGTACCGTTTTGTTTTTGTTTTTGTTTGGTAATAATCGTCCAATTGTTGACTAATTAGGCTTGAAACGTTCGTCTCGCAAAGTACAACCAAACTGTACAATTAGTTTTTAATTTTGTCAACATTTAGTACTCCATACATGTCCCACAAATTTGATGTGACGGAGAATCTTCTTTTTGCATAGTGTCAACTTCAGGAATTAGGGGAACTAAACATGGCTTTGGTTGCTGCCGCAGATTGAGTGTGCCGAAACTACGGCGCCGTTTCCTGTCAAGTTGTGCGCCAACAAAAAGTCTGACGCTCGTTTTCTGCGCCACACATTCGGCGGCGCAAGAGCTACGCTGCGGCGTGCTAGGGCTTCGAGTCAAACACGCCCTAGGCCTTGTTTAGATTGTCTTAAAATTTCAAGTTTTTTCACTCTCTCTTCGTCACATTAATTTTTGGACGTATGTATGGAGTATTAAATGTAGGTAAAAAAATAACTAATTACACAGTTTTGTTGTAAATCACGAGACGAATCTTTTAAGCCTAGTTAGTCCATGATCAGACAAAGTTTGTCAAATACAAACGAAACGTGCTATAGTGTCCAGATTGCAAAAAATTACAATCTAAACAAGGCCCTAGTATATTTGATGAGCGATATGACTATCCTAAATTGGCCCATATTAAACTTGCTTTCATGTTCTAGAGCTGAGTCCATGGACGCCATGATCCTTCACGTCTTGATTAATCTCTTTTTTTAAACCCTTTTATATGGACCGATAGGCGCCATGCTTACTGACTCCATGTTTCTGAAGTGTGTAAATGGTGTTGTAATCTAGTAGGAGTATCAAACATCAATGTCATGACTCGGGACTCTTACATCCCATCGTTGCTCACTTGCTCAATACTGTATCACTTTTTTTTTGCTTATCCAAATGCGACGAAGATTTGGTTTAGAGAGGCTGCATCGACACACAGGACTATTGATTTGAAAAAGATTGTGCATTTATGTAATGGATTTATTTTCGGTAAACCCCACCGGCTATATATAACATCGACATATTTCATACGTCTAAGCCGTATCTGAAATTTAAAAATGTGAATTAGTGCGGCAATCTCTCATCTAGTACGTGATCTGGCAGTTTGAAAACGAAGATACGCATTCATCACACGACTCAGGTCTCCATAATTTTTTCTATAAGAATAAGCCTACTAATAATTAATAAAAATATCTGCCCACGTGTAGCCGTGCCCACGTACCTGGGCTACCTGACAATGTGACAGCAGCAGGAACTTGACACGTCACGCCCGGTCACATGTTTGATCAATATTGGACCACAACCCCATCATTCCTCATCGCGACCCGGAAGGCGACGGCTCCTGTCATACGACACGTGGCTGCCTCCCATGGATATTTCCGTTTCCTTTCTCTATCAACGATGGATGGATATTCTTTTTTCGTTCCCTTCCTCTACCCACCCACGATGGATATTTTTCCCTTTTAATTGTAGTGGCATCACTAGAAATAACAACCGTAAGCGTAAATCGAAGAGATTATTAGAAAAAAATAGAAAAAAAAATATTCCAAAATTTACTAATTTAGCCATTCTCCAAATAAACCTTACCTAAAATAGCTAGACTAGTCCAACAAGCAAAGTAAAACTTAGCATTATATATTTGTATTCAAACCTACCGTGTAATGTTATAACCTAAGGAGTCGTTTGGATCCCTTCATTTTGAAGGAATTGAATTCTACTTAATGGATTAGGTTATTTGATTGGAATTTGATATTCCATAATTTTTTCAAGCTCACAAATAAGTATATCTCAAATTCATAGGGCGTGAGATAGAAATAGATTCTATAGATCATTATGCTATAATTCTACTCTCTAACTTATAACACACTCTTCAACTCACTTCCCTACAATAGAAAGACAACATATAAGTATGTCTCTTATATGTTTAATAATAAATATATAAATATATTTCATATATATAACTATATCAGCTTAATTAATCTATGTCTAAATTATAATTATTAGAATGAATTTAATTCGAAGAAGTGTTTTCCTGCCTGCGCGCACTCGATTTCCGGCCACCAGATCCTTGGTCGTTCTGATCTTATGTGTTTATTCGCCACGTGTCCCCACTGACGCCCGGGCGCTGAGTGGAGTCCAGCACGTTGCCCTAGGTCCCATACGCATCTCTCTGTAGGTGTTGCCGTGTTGGAGACCGCGTCTCCCGCCCCTTAAGGTGGTGTTTGGTTGGTGGGATGGCATGGGATGGGGTGGGATAATCCCACTTTCGCTACTGTTTGGTTCAGGGGCGAACCGGAGATATGACCATCCCACCAATGAATATTCTCGCTAGATGCCGTGACTCTCGTCCCTCATTTTTCGGCGGACTGGGTCCGTCCCACCTAGGACGGCCTTCGTGGGCGGGCGAGCACACGCAATGCGAGCGCGAGATGGCGAGCGGTGGCGCAGGTCGGGCGGGCGAGCTCCGCCACCGGCTCCGGCACGCGGTCGGGCGGGTGAGCTCCGGCCCCGGCACGCGGCTGGGCGGGTTAGCTCCGGCCCCGGCTCCAGCCCGCGGCCGAGCGGAAGAGTGCAGCTGGGCGGAGAGCAGGCGCGCCCGGGCAAGCAACGCCCCTAGCTCTGCCCCTAACTCCGGCGGGCGCCGGCGAGCGAGCAGCGCTCCCAGCTGCGCACCCCGCGCCGGCGAGCGAGTAGCGCCCCTAGCTCCGGCGGGCGAGCAACGCCCCCAGCCCCTGCAAGCGAGCAGCGCCCCCAAGTCCGGCGGGCAAGCAGCGCCCCTAGCTCTGGCAGAGGCACGACCTGACGACCATGGAGATGTGGTTGACGACGAAGGGATAAGGGGAGGAAAAAGAAATTGAAAAAAAATAAAAAAAAACTGAAAAATGGGTCCCGTGTGTCAATGGTAGAGGAAGAAAAAGCATGAGAAGAGACTCGCACATGGGGCCCACCTGTCAGGCATATGATCCCACTTTTCATGTCTCCAAACCAAACATAAAATGGGTCCGTTCCATCCCTTCTCAACCAAACGGAAAATGGAGTCGTCCCATCCCAGAAAAAAGAAATGGAACTGTCCCACTCCACCTCGACTCTAACCAAACGATACCTAAACCGCCCGGGGCACGGATGCCGCCCATCGCGCCCCCTGCATGCATGACGCCAGGTTTTGAAAAAACAGCAGCCATTGGGAGATGCCATGGACCCATGCCTGCATGCTGCCAAGTCCTCTAGAGCGAAAGAGAAGAATGGGAAAGGATGGCCACCGTCGTTTGCTGATAGTTGCAAGATTATATCTCATTGGACCATATTTTACTATTTTTTATGGTGTAAATTCTATATTCAATTGATGTAAATTGATTGTTCGTAAACGAGAATGGGTAGAATTACTCGAACAGTTATCTAATCTTTTTTTGCTTTTTTGATTTTCTGTATGTTTTATTTGATTCCTCTTTGAAATCTTCCAATTTGACTTATAGAAATAATATGGCTATTTTTTTGTTTTTATTTATTATTTTTGCATTATTTTGATAATTTTTCTTTGGTTCATTTGATCTAGATCTGGTGGATTTTGTTTCTGTCCTCAATCAGGAGGTGCTGAGTAGACAAACTCATAAAAAAAACCTCTACCATGTCATCAATACTTTTTTGAATCCATCGTGTCAAGACTTTCGGATCCATGTCATAAAAAAATTAGTATGGGCTTGTTTGGAATTGCTCCATAAACTTTGTTCCATGAACTCCACCATGGAACAGCTTCATAAAAACTAAAGTTTTAGGAGCACACCTTTAGGTGCTCTCATGAATTCTCCCTTTTTCTAGAGCAAAGTTTGTGAAGTTGTATCTGTCTGGCTGAAAAAGTTGAAGCGAAGCTGAAAAATGTGGCGCGCTTAAACATTCATAAATTAAACCCAAATATAAGGGATTTTAGGGGGACAAAATAGTTTTGCATTAAATAGCTGCATAAATTTGGAAAGGTATTATATTGTTTGTTGCCTTTTTATCAACCATTCACTAATAATTATGTTGATGGCAGCGTCTAATTAGGAAACAAAGTGAGAATATATATACATCTTTTGTATTCTTTCTTAATCTATCATGGAATCTCTAGAATGCATTATATACGTCCTATTCGCTTGGCTTATAAGCCGTACTTTTTCAGCCAACGAACAATATTTTTCTCTCACAATAAATCGACCAGCAGTATTTTCAACCATGACTTATTGGCCAAGCGAGCAGAGCAATAATTTATTTATG